TCTTGACACAGGAAGCTACAACGGGCTGAATTTCTTATTATTTGTCTTTTTTTTTTATGGTTAGTTATACAATTAGAAGCAATATTTTTTATTTTTTATTTTATTTCACACGTATATTATACAATTCAAATTTAAAATCTTTTATTTTTATTAAAAAAAATTATCACTGAACTAATTAGATCATTGATTTAATTTTATCTTGTAAACTTAATAAGTTAATATAGATTTTTAAGTATTAGAGCAAGTAACTTAAAAAATTAATTATTTTTAAGGTTATATCCCCGATTCAGTCCCTGAACTTTCATTTTTGGACTAAAAATACCCTCTAACTAAAAAAAGTACTAAAAAAATCCCTAAACTTCAATTTGTGGAACCATTTTGGTCCTTCCGTCGACGGAGTGCCAGATGGCACGTTAAGTTGCCACGAAATCAAGCTTTTTTTTTTTCAACTAATGACATGGAAAAACCACATGTAAAAGTGTATGAGTTGGCATTTTATCTTAAAATTACACAATTATCCATTATCCTTAATTTTTTATATTTTTTGAAGTTACCAAAATACCCTTATCTTCTTTTTTCCGTTCTTTTTCTTTTTTTCTTTTTCTCCTTCCCTGCCTACTGGGTTCGAAGGAACCCCGCGCCTGGGTTCGATGGAACCTAGGGCTTGGGTTCGAAGGAACCCAGGCGCGGGTTCGAGTCGAACACGCCTGGGTTTTTCTTTTGTTTCTTTGTTCTTCTGTTTCTTTGTTGGCTGCAGTGATGCTTGACTATCTTGGTATGGATTTAGAGTTTTGATATGAGTTCTGCTTGCTTGAATTTCAAGGTTCAGTTATGGTTGGTGTTGATTGAAGGGCTGTTGCGTTTTTTGCGTTTTTTGCATTTTTCTTTTCTGTTACAGATTTGGTATAAGTTTGCAATATGATTAATTTGTTCAATTTTTATAAATTTGGTATAAGTTTACAGATTTGGGTTTCAGAGAGAAGGTTTGGGAGGTTTGGGGAGGAAGGAGATGGTGATTGGAGTAGAAAGAGATGATCGGGAGTAGAAAGAGATGATCGGGAGTAATGAGGGATAATCGGTGTTGATTGGGGGTATTTAAGAAATTTTAAATTTTTTAATATATAAATTAATTAAAATGACGTGGATAATAAGTTATTTTCCAT